TGGTTCGTTGGAGGCCCATGCTAATGGCAAGTTATTATCTAGAAAATATCGTATAAAAAGTTTGAGAGGCTTCTGTAAGTTTTATGATCTCACTTTTTTCTGATTACTTCAATTTGAAATTTGTACTAAGATAATTATATTCATTATAGTTAAAAAAGAAAAAAAATTTTTCAATTTATCAAATTTCAATCTTAAAAAACTGGTAATTTGTAGTAATAAAATTTGCCTTAATGAAATAATTTGTTTAATCGATTTAATTTCCCATATTTGGATCAATTTATGGGTCAAGTTGTCACTTATCACCTTCCTATTAATGCTCAATGATTATAAACAATTTTTTCATAGGTAGTAATAAAAATAATAGCGAATACCGATATTACGAAGTACTATTTGCGAATATTACGATATTACGATATTACGAAGATTGCGGAATTAAAATGATCGTATCAAAATCAAAATAGTAGTAAAAATTTGACATTGAAAAAGAAATGAAATGAAATGAAATTTCAACTGCTCCGATTTTTTCATTTCAATCATTTTCTCTTTCACTAATTGAAAGAGAAGAATTGTTGAATTCATTTTTACGGAAAATTTTAGTCGAAAAACTTTTCCGTTTCTTTTTTTATGATTAAATAAACAAGAAATCTTATATAGAAATAATTGAAATTTCAATATGAATTATTAAAATTTTTTAATTCGAAATAATTTCGATGAATATAATTCATCGGTATTTAAGCATTTCTTTTGGAGAAGAATTGTGGGAGAGAATGTTTTAGAAATTCCATTCTTCAAATATGGTAATAGTAAGAGTGAAAAACTTTCATTATCAAAAGCTGATATGAAAATTGGCTTATTAATGATAATTTCTTTAAATGTAATAGTGAGAGTGAAACTTTCATTATCAAAAGCTGATATGATAATTAGCTTATTAATGATAATTTCTTTAAATATGATAGTAGTGAGAGTGAAAAACTTTCATTATCAAAAGCTGATATGATAATTAGCTTATTAATGATAATTTCTTTAAATATGATAGTAGTGAGAGTGAAAAACTTTCATTATCAAAAGCTGATATGATAATTAGCTTATTAATGATAATTTCTTTAAATATGATAGTAGTGAGAGTGAAAAACTTTCATTATCAAAAGCTGATATGATAATTAGCTTATTAATGATAATTTCTTTAAATATGATAGTAGTGAGAGTGAAAAACTTCCATTATCAAAAGCTGATATGAAAATTAGCTTATTAATGATAATTTCTTTAAATATGATAATAGTAAGAGTGATACTTTTATTATCAAAAGTTGATATGAAAATTAGCTTATTAATGATAATTTCTTTAAACATGATGATAGTGAGAGAATCTAATTTATCTAATTTATATATCAGCTACCAAAAATTATCAGAATTGACATGAAAATTAGCAGATTAATGAGAGATTTGGTAAAAGTGAAAAAGGAAGATATAATAGAGAGATTTGATAGAAATAAAGAAAAGAGAAATTAATTTAAAATTCATAAAAACTGCTAAAAGAAATTGTTTGAAAAAGATTGTTATACCAGTGAAAAGTTTATTTTGGTAGCTGATATATAAATTAGACTAATTAGAATATTTCACACAAATTTCAAGTTTTCTTTCATTCTCTTTTCATTCATTCCTTATTAATTTTTAACGATTGATCGATGCATAAGGCAAAACGGATACTCTTCTTTCATCATTCCTAATTAGCTTCAACATCTTTACGACAATGATGAATACTTTCAAAACTAATAATACCAACAAAATGATTAAGGAGGGAACAGAAAAGGAAAGTTGGAAGAAGAAATTTTGATAGTCTATAAATTTAATTTTAAAAATAGATTACTTTTTGCTTTTTACCTAAAATGATTTTTTTAAAATTTAGTTAATACATTTTAGTTTTTGCATTTGGGTAAATACTTGGATTCAAACATTCCATCTTGAATTATTTCACTTTTATTAGATTCGGACATATATATCAATCGATCTAGCAAGATATACAGCTGTCAACTCCCATTTATATTCTGGTCCTTTGGTAAACTTATTTTAACATCTATCATATACCGTCTCATCTTTAGCAAAAATTCAAACTACCTTTTAAAAAGACAGAAAGTAAAGAAGTATTTAGAGAGCTAATGAATTGAAGATTTTCAATTTTTCTGCTGCATGTGAATGGACAGTGGTCATATTGCATGGTCATATTGTATTTCCAGTATGAATGTAATTGCTTGTATGAAAAACTAATGAATAAATGCTGAAGGATTAATAAGCATATCAGTCTCATCTGATGATCAAATATTTTGACTCTCATTTATAATATAATAAATTCTCTGCGCAAGCAGAATCGTCATTGGATAGTACCACACTACCATACCGGTAATTATTGTAATAACCAAGCTTGTGAATGGTCAATGTCATATTGCATGGTCATATTGTATTTCCAGTTATGAATGTAATTGCTTTCTGTGTTGCAATTAATTTCCTTTAGTAAACAAGCAAAACACAAATAATAGTTTATCTGAAATCAAAATTTCATTTATATTTTGCTTTTTAGAATTAATTTAATTAAAGGAAAGCCGGGCAATTTTTGAAAGTTCTAAATGATATCACTTGTTCGAGTATACGGCTGCACTTTAATATCATCCATCGTACGCCCACGAACAATTATCGGTGGCGTATTGTGATATATATCGGTGAGAAGTGCATCTATTGAAATCACTGGATCATCCCTCGCAAATTTAACTGCTTCGTCCACCTGAAAATTACACATTTTAACGTGCTTAAAGTAAATAAAGCTAATATTATTAGCTCTTAACTTGTTGTAACAATAATTTGCTGCGACAATAACGTTTGCTAATGTCGAATGTATAATGAATAAAAATGCAAAAACTACGACAATCTCCAACAAAGGTGAAATTGATCATTACTTTTAGCAAGAATTTTTCACTGAATACTTCTTGGAATATTTCCCCATAAATAACCCGAGAAGGGAAGGTAACTCTTTCCCTCATTTAATTTGTATGAGCAATATTATCTGAGAAATTAGAAGGAGCAAAGTTTTTTTGGGAGAATTTTCTTAGATTATAAAAATAGTGTTTCTTTTTTTAAAGTAAGAAAATGCTGTATATCTTTGAATCACCTCATTTTTCGCTTCAATTTCAATTGATTTCAATTCATTCTTCGTAGCCAAATTTGAAGTAAGAATTCTACCTTTTAATAGAGAGATCGGATCGGATGTTTTACGAATATTCTGCACTTCCTTACGAGTTCGGTAGCTATAGTTTTAAATGATTAAATTTGAAAGTTACTTCAGATTTCATTAGATAAAAAGTTGAATTATATGTTACTCTTTCAAATTACTAAAAAAGCAAGAAGATATAGCTCAAAATGATTTTTGAAAAACGTTATCCTTAAAATTCTTCATTCACTCTTAAATTTGATCACCTGATTCCTGGATCAGCAACAGAGTGACCATAGAATCGATAAGTTGAAAATTCAATAAATAATGGACCCCTATCATCAGTAATGCAATATTTCCTGGCGAACTTAATCGACTCTCGTACCGCAAGTACATCCATCCCGTCAACCTGATTTTTTATTAGAAAAAATTTTCACATTGATTATAATCTTTTAATTATTTTCTTTTGAAACAAAGAAATAACGTTTTACCCAAATTCCGGGAATATAATCACCACGGGCATAATAATCGGTTGATGCAGAAGAACGTGAAGCAGGTGTACCCATACCGAAACCATTATTTTCGCAAATAAAAACACACGGTAAACGCCATAAAGCACACATATTTGCCGCTAAAATTGTATCAATTAGAGTTCATCTCTATCTTACGTAACATACGTAAAGCTATACTTTGTATTGCTCAGTAAGATTTGTAGCAATAACATTTATGATAACGCTTCTCATCCTAAAATATAATTCACTATGATAACGTTTCTCATCTTAAAATATAATTCGTTTATTGTAATAAACAATCGTATCATATGATCGTATCATATGATTTTAGATTTTCAAAGATAATTATAATAGCATTTTCTTTTTTGTCAACTACAATAGTATATTTTTATCAATTATAATAATATGTTTTTGTTAACTATAGCGGAATATTTTGTTTGAATAATGCAAGAAATTTAAAAACAAATAGAAACAAAAAATTTTCACAATGGTCAATTTCCTCAAAGTTGCATAAATGTTTCAGTAAGTTACACTGATATTTTAAAATTAAGATAGAAATTGTAAAGTCTAATACGCCTGTTCCAATTTCCTACGAATTGTTTAAATTCTTCTGAAAAAATTCTACTGCTAAAAATTTTTAGAAAACTTCTAAAAATAAAATGGAAAGATGAACTAGAAAGATAAGAAAGTAATATCTTTTGTATTACATATCAAGTTTTTCTAATGATTTTATCTGATATAAAATCCTGATATCTTAATTAATATATAAATTAATTTCTTAATTTCTTGATTATTTCTTAATTAATAAATAAATTAATTTCTTAATTTCTTAATTAATTTCTTAATTAATATAAAATCCTGATATAAACGGATTGCCTTCAAAAAATTCCTGATATAAACGGATTACCTTCAAAAAATTTCTGATACAAAACGGATTACCTTCAAAAAATTCCTGATATGAACGGATTACCTTCAAAAAATTTCTGATACAAAACGGATTACCTTCAAAAAATCCCTGATATAAACGGATTATCTTCAAAAAATTTCTGATACAAAACGGATTACCCTCATAAAGTTGCCCCTGATTTGCAGCACCATCACCATATATCGTGAAACATAAATTTGGCTTTCGATTATATTTCATTGCAAAAGCTATACCAGCGCCAATTGGTTGCTGAGCACCGACAATTCCATTACCACCATAAAAGTTTTTGCCATACATATGCATCGAACCACCTTTTCCGTTGACATTACCATGTGAACGGCCTAAACTTTGAAGTAAATGGCTAAATGTCATTTAAAAAGTTTCAAGTTTAACAAATTCAAATTTAAGAAATACTTGGCTCGATGCATATTTAATCTATGATGGTAGCAGTAGAAGTAGACTTATTTGCTATCAAATACAACGAAAGTGAAATTTATCCCTCTGATAGTAAATATATCTGGAATCTCTTATAGCTTATAGTAACTAACTTCATATCAGATATTTAAATTTTTTTTAGAAAATAATTGCAATCTCAAAATTTTGTTTTACTTTTTAGCTATAAATTGAAATCGATATAAGACCGATATATTATCAGTGTTTACTATGAATTTCTTTTTTTCCAGTGAAACTAACCAAGTAATTCCGAAAAAATTTCTTTTAGATTCCTAGTTAGATAGACAAATCCATGGCAGCGATACGAAGTGATGACAGAATCTTCCGGATCTTTTGCAGCATAAAGTCCAACTGCACAAGCCTCCTGAAATACACGGACAATCTTATCTATCAATTGTCGCTATATCGATGAAAGAACAATAACATGAAAGTTGAAAATATCGTTGAAGAACACAGTATAGAAGTGTAATCATAAATAGTCTGTCAGCAAGTAGCAAATTTCTAACCTGTCCAGCATAAAGATGACAAAAACCACGAATTTTTCGTTCCTTATATAATAAGTCTGCTGCCTGTTCCATTTTACGAATTACCTGAATTTGTTGAAATAATATATTTGGAAAATTTTAAAAAATAAAATGTAAAAATTATAATAGATTTACAGATATAGAATTATAACAGATTTAGAATTATTGTATCCTTTTTTAAGAAGATAATAAATCAGTGTCATATATGATATCCAAACTGTCATCTCTACCTTCAAATATAATTTGTAAACAAGCTTAATAGTATTAGCAGAATTTTAGAATAGCAGAATTTATAACAAATACTATTTCCTACTGGTTAATCAAATAATTTTGATAGCCATCTAATAGAAGATATGATTGAAATTATTGCTAATAGTTCTGAGTGATATTTTCATTAATTTACAAATTCTTAATGGAAGATAATACTATCTCAAAAGAATGCTAAATGATACCAGCATCTTTCTATACATATCCAGAGCATTTGATTTATTAAGAGTAACATTTATTGATGGACCAGTATTTAATCGATGTAATTTAAATGGTGTTGTTTGAAATGATGCTTCGTTCACATGGCGAATTGATTGAATGATAAATGATTGGCGTCGTAGTACGGGAAATATCTATTAAGTAGCAAATATCATTAAATGTTTCAAATTCATTAAAATTTTCATTTTCAATTTTCTATGGAAAATTTTCGAATCATGAAAAAGAGATGGAATGATGAGAATTCCTTTTGTGAATTCTATACATAGATTCCTAATATAACGTGAAGATGGAGCGCAATTTTTTCACGTATTTATTACACCTGTAATTTATTATATCATATATCAGAAGGAAAGAAAATGAGTGATATATGTTTGATTAGAAGAGAATTATTTTGTAATTACTCGATGGTAACATTAATCGTACCTTTAAACGATGTTATTTTTTAAGCAAATCAATTAATGATAGCAATTAATGATATTACTTTAACAACAGATGAGAACATCAACATATTTTGTCGAAAGGATTCGACGTATTCGAAGAATGTGCACCGCTCTTTATCACTAAAAAAATTCTCCACTGCAACATCATTTTTACATTAATGAATTTAAATAAAGATGAAAAGAAAAAGAGGAAAATTTGCATAACCAACCTGGTCTGTAATGAATATGCAAATTTTAAGAAGTAGTAGAATAATCAGTCTTTGTCAATTATCCAGAAATAAAGCAATAGATTCATTGCTACTACTGTTTCAGATTTACGCTAAACGAATTGTCAGAAAACATATTGCCCATAAATGATGTTGAAATTTTGCAATACAGTGATTGAATTTTGAATTTGAGCTTATCAGTATCGTTTAGTCGGATCATCGCTTTACATTGGGTCGGTCACCAATGAGACTGCTCAGATATGTCATTTGCGCGTGACGAATTGTAAAGATTCCGAAAATTTTTCTATCACAATCATATTTTTTCCAAACAACGACAACAAGAAACAATAATCTAGCTTCTCTCAATCTCGCATTCTTTTGTCCTTATCCTGAACATCATGAACCTTCAAGACCGTTCTATTCATTTCCCTCGAAGGACTTCCTGCTCTCTACCGCTCAGCTTCCAAATCTCTGCTTAATGATTTCTCTTTTGTTTTAAGCTTGGAGATTAGAGGTCAGCTAACGAATTTGCAGCGCACTAAGATCTTATCTTCGAATTCGCGATGCGCATAGAATCCTTTGCCATATATATATATATATATATATATATATATCATATATATCATATATATATAAGAAATTGATTACACGAAAGTTAGGGAGTAATGCTACCTTGTAAAAGGCAATTACGTATTGAAGATTCTATGTAAGGTATATCTGAAACATGGCTTAGTAACTCACTTGCCAGATATTTAGTGTGACCATTTGATAGCTTAATAGTTGGAAAAATAGCCATCGCTAACTTATTTTAAACGTACCCTTAGACTGAATCAGTGTTTATTTAATGGTGGCTATTAAATAACCAAGCATTAAAATAACCATTAAATGGATTCAGTTCACTTCTCGAATTCATAAGAAATTGTTTTCTTTTTAAAAGATAATCATTTAGCTTGTCAAGTGGTATTGATTATAGCAATAGGTTCTAATCTTTTTAACGCATTTACACTTGTCTCATCTTTTCTGAGTTATCAGTTGAGTTTGATGTTATGCATAACATTCCTTATATATTTGCCATTTTTTATTTTCATATTTGAACAAATCTCTGTTCAGCTAGCTTCACTATGAGTTTCAGGTCCATTAACTGGGTTTCTTCCTTCGTCATCATCATTTGGATCATTTTCTCAATAATGGTTACAGGTTTTCTTTAAATTTTTAGTTGATTCCGAAAAGATTAGTTTGAGTATGCAGACCTTCTGTGTGGACAAAAAAAGGCAAATATGACAAAAAACGAAGAAACGATCTATTGCATGCGCAAAGAAAGGCTACCAGAATATGAGGAATAATTTATTTATAAATCCCTCTGAGCTTTACTCAGAAAAATTTTAATTTTAATCTCAAATATCTCTATGCTAAAAATTTGCAAGTAAAAGAATACACTTCACTTACAGTAGTGTATAATACTAATGGCTTCCAATAATAAAACGAAAAAATATATCAAGAGGTATGTAAGCAACAAAGAATGTTTCGGAATCGATCATTGTCATGGTTCATTAAAAGATTTTTAAGGGACTAAGCTGGGAATTTGCAAAATATAAAAGAAAAAATAGCTATCATCAAACGTTCACTCCTAATGATTTCAGCAAATCATCGGTTCTGCAATACTTCTGTACGGCACTTTGATCCAGGGTGACACCACGAACATGTTGAGGAGGTGTATTGTGATAGATATCACAGTAAAGAGATTCGAGTGGAAGTGGAGGATCAGTTCGGGAAACGTTTACGGCTTCGTCAATCTGAAATAACGATAAAAATCGCGATAAAAATCTTCAAATTTAATGAAATGTACTAAAGGTTACTACTATTCAAAAAAAATTCCGTTCATCTCAGCAATAACAAGTTTTCATCATCACTCCATAGATATCAAACGCAATTTTCAACAATCCAACCGTGAAAAATCAGATACAATGTTTTGATAGCTGGCATATAGACTTATTTTAAAAAAAAGCACCGTATAGTATGCATATGAACAGGGCATTTTTTACTTCTGTTAATGATGAGATAAATTTTCAAGAGCTTGAAAGAAACAACTTTTTATCAAAAACATATGATTCAGTTTTTTAAATATGGAAAGCTAGGGATAACCTCTTTCTTGACTTGTTTATCCATTTCTTTCAATTCTTCCTCGGAAACCAATCCGGCAGTAACAATCCTATCTTTAAAACCCGTGATCGGGTCGCGAGATTTGCGCATTTGCTGCACCTCGTCCCGAGTTCGATAACTGAAAATATCATGTGTATGAACGGAAGTCAGCCATTCATTTCTTTTATTTTTGGTTCTTCTTTAGAACTTCTAAAGTTTCCGAAATATGCTAACCTCGTTCCCGGATCTGACATTGAATGGCCAGAATATCGATAAGTAGCAAATTCTAACATAAGAGGACCCTTTCCAGTATTGCAATATTCCCTTGACCATCTCACTGCTTCTCGAACAGCAAGAACATCCATACCATCAGCCTAAAATTATTTCAAAATATTATTGCCTATCTGAACTGCTACTACAGATTAAATTCCTATAACAATTGCTATTAAACCTACCCAGACACCTGGTATATAATCGCCACGTGTGTAGTAGTCTGTTACAGCAGACGCACGATCAGCTGGTGTACCCATACCATACCCATTGTTTTCACAGATAAAGATGCATGGTAGATTCCATAATGCACACATATTAATGACTAAAAAACACTTTGATATTAGCTCATTTTTGCTTAAATGATTTCAATAAGTCCCCTTCTTCCTAACCGTTCCACTTCTTTCCTAAGAATGCTAAAAATTTGCTTGCATGAACAAATGAAGGAACATTTCTCTACTTTATAAACTGTAGAATTCTACCAATTACCTGATAATAATGTACTAATGAAATGATTATGTATGAATCTCACCTTTATTAACAATAAGCTCTCATTACATACCAATGAACTGTTAAAGACTAAAAGGAGACTGAACCTTCAAATAGTTGCCCTTGGTTTGCTGCGCCATCACCATACACAGTATATGTAACATTCTTTTTCTTATTATACTTAAGAGCAAATGCTAGGCCAGCGCCAAGTGATTGTTGTGCGCCAACAATGCCATTACCGCCGAAGAAGTTTTTGTTATACATATGCATGGAACCACCTTTTCCGTGCACATTACCAGAACGTCGACCTAAAAACGATGAATATGCCCGTAACTTTTAATTTCGTTATAATTTTATAGCATAATGACTATTTTACAATATTTTATTCTGACTTGTTACTTCGTCTTTTCGAGATGCAATGCTCACAAAAACTTAAAAACTTTACAAATGTATTTCTCTCACTACTGACCTGTCAATTCCGATAAAATTTCGGCGACTCCCGATCCAGTTAAATAGGTAAACGCGTGGCAACGATATGAAGTGATTAAAGCGTCTTCACTGTCCTTCGATGCACAAAGTCCAACTGCGATCGCTTCCTAATGAAGAAATACAGTAGTCTGAGCAACTTTTTAGCAGAGGTGAACAACGAAAAAGGAAGACTCGAAATGCAAAAGAAGGAGGATGGACTGATAATTTCATGGTTGTCATAAAAAGTGTTCGAAAATTAATTATATATCGATTAGTTCAGATACATATTTTATCAATTGTAGGAATAATAAGACTATAACAAATATGAAATTTATCACCTGTCCTACATACAAATGGCAGAAACCACGGACAAATCTCTCCTTATAAAGATTTCCCGCCGCCATTTCCATCCGTCTGATTACCTGCAATACATCGCTTCCAGAAAGGATTAGTACATTTTTGCAGATTTAACATGTATAAGTTAAACGTATTCCAAGTATATATACGATAGATGTAAACAGATGTAATATTACATGAAGCAAACAAAACTAACCGACATTTGACGATAGTAATCTAAAGCATCATCTCTTGTAACAGAAACATTCGTTGATGGACCAGATTCTAGTCGATGTAACTTATACGGTTTCGTTTGAAAAGATGCTTCTTTGCTAGCCAAACGAATCGAAAATGCTATCAACGATTGTTGTTGCACAGGTGCCTGGAAATAATGCAACCTGAATAATGAATGATGTCATCTATAAGATATGATTTCTGAATTATGGATATCAAAAGAAATAATTTGAAGTGTATTCTCTTCTCATTTTTGAAGTTTACACAGTGAAAGAGAAAAAAGTTTATTTATTTTCTTTACCTTAGATGCTTTGATTACATTGGATAGAACGTTGATCATAATTAGCAAGCCAAATTAACTTCTCGCACTGCAAAAAAGTTCACGATATATACAAAAAATTTCTATTAATATACGGATAAATGTATCCTTCCTGTTTCTGTGATCAATTTAATTAGATTATTTGAAGATTACGTAAATTTAATAGCGCAATAGTTTGATGGATAGATAGCAACAAATATCATATAATAAAATGTGAAGGAAATTGCTTCACGGATAAGTGAATATAAAAGGAAAGAGGGAATGATGAGAAAGATGAGAGAAAGAATGTGATTCATGACGAATTTCTGGCGTTTAAAATTTGGTGATTTCAAAGTGATTTTGTTAAACTACAAATTTATAACTTGTATTGTTAGTTCTATCATATTTGTAGACAAGTAAGTACTGTAGAATTAGGATAGTATTGAAATAGTAAAATATGTGTCTGTTTTTTCTGTTGATATTTTTTTGTTTGCGTATTATTTAATCTCTTTTTATTATTCTGTCAACATATTGGTGAAATTTTCGACTAGGAATAAATTATGTTCTTCTCTAATACCTGTTTTGGTTTTGGTATGAAAACACCCAATGAAAATGTTTTGGTTTCAAATACAATGAAAAGTGATAGCAGTGATAATCTAGTGACCAAAATTGGCTTATTTGGCATAGATTACTACTTTGAGGCACTGTGCAATCACAGTAGTGAAAAGAAATGGATGATAATGTTCCGTCAGATCGGAATTCCTTTTTATTAACTGAGATATTTCAAGGATTTTATTTTCAAGAATAAACAACATTTAAGCAAATAAGTTTTCGGTTTTAAATCCGCGGTTTTAAATCTCTAACTTGTTAAAATACTACAGATGAGATGTACACAAGATGTTGAAATGGAAAGAGATCATGAAGATCAGATCATGAGATCACCAAAAGTTTTTTTGCACTTTACAAATCTAAAAATGAAATCAAAATTATTGCAAAAAAAAGGATAAGATAAAAAAAATAAAATAAAAATCAATTTAATTAGTCTACCCCTTAAGTTTAACAATAAACTTATATTAATAATAACCTAAGTTTAATAATAACTTGATATATTTAATAATAATAACTTTTATTTTTCAATAATAACTAATAATAATAACTTCCATATTCGATGAAGCAATAAGGTAGAGAATAAGGTAAAGGAAATATGTAATAACTTATCGTTTTTCAAATCACAATAATTTTCAAATAGGTTTTCGGATGAAACATTTATTCATAACATTCACTACAATAAGGTCTATAGAAATTCTGTAAGTGCCATAAAGATTTAATGTTTATCAAAATGAAAAGCATCCATAAGCTCCAGTGAGCAAAGCATTTAATATGAGTTCATTTATTGAAATTTTAGCTTTAAAGAGGTGGTGAAAGAAAAGAAGGAAATTTTATTGATGGATTTCAGAGAAGTATGAAAGTAGCGAAAGTTAGGGAAAACATTTTCACACTAGAAGAATGGAGCAAAATGTATGTTCTAATATATTTTTCCTTTCGAAAGAATTTGACACCGTCACTGTTAAGTGTTTCAAATATGTTTACTTTTGCTGCATACCCATTCGGTTTCCGACTTATTTTCCGAATGTGGAAAATTGAAAATTACACAACAAGAACAAATTCCATAAAGACTTCTCAAATCAGTTTTTCGTCACCAAAATTTCTATGATGTTGCAGAATTTCTCGTTGAAGTTACAACATCTCTGTTTTTTAAATATTGTTTGCAAACAAATAGAGCATGCAAGTAAATGTGAAATTGCAATCAGTTAACTAATGATTAAAGCTAGAAAATAGCATTATTTCGTGTTGTCTAACTTGATGTGAGTGAGAAACAATGAAATCAAAGAGAAAATTAAAACAAATTGAGCAGACAAGCAGTATGTGAAAACTATAAGTGAACAAAAAGATAGCACGTGAAAAAAATGGTTGAACCATTGTGCAAAAAGTATAACCCAATTTATCTAGATTAAACGAGAAATTCCGCAACATTATAGAAATTTTGGTGACAAAAAACTGATTGAGAAGTCTTTACAGAATTTATTCCTATTGTGTAATTTTTCAACTTCTCATACCAGAAAAATAAATCGGAAACTAAACGGATATGCAGTAAGAGTAAACTTGTTTGAAACATTAACAGCTGGTTGGATATCAAATTTTTTCGGAAGGAAAAATATTTTAGAGCAAAAATTATTTCAGCTATGGACTTAGTTTGCTTTGTCTACCAATAATATAACCAGGAAAAGGATTGAATTAAATGTGACGTATTGCATTTAATAAGTTTATTTAGGGAGAACTATGTGTATTCAGTATGGTAGATGATTCGGTATTTTCAGCCACGTAGATCTGTCATCTCTTCAAATGATGTGAAATTTGATCGAAATTTTTTCAGTGTTGAAATTTGCACTCAAAGCTCACTTGAAATATTTCTATGAAGCTTAAAAACTGATCACTGCTCCAACGAATTTTGTTCAATGTTCTCCTATACGTCCTCGGGATTATAAAATATATCCGTAACTTCTCAGTTTTCTTGATTCGTTTCAATAGAATTTCATTTACTTTGAAAAGTACTACATACTTGCATCCTATCTTTTGCATAACCCATTTATTTCTTTTCCACATTTGTAGATTATTCCATCTATATGCAACGTGAAAAAGAAACTACTGTAAAAACTATTATCATTTCTAGCAGTAGTAGATTTATGAAGTTTGAAAGGTTGAGTTGTATCGATTCCAGATCATAACAATCCTACTATAACCATAACAAATAGTCACAACAAATTAATTCTTTGTCAATCATAACAACCCTATTATGACTTCAATTAAATCCATTAAAAGACATTTCACATTGATTTAAATTTGAAACAGACATATTATTCCTTCTTTTAGCTTTTAAATTAAAATGCAGTATTAACGACTTAAGTTATTAATCAAAAAAAAGTGTCGCGACTTTCTGCAATGCTAATTTCGACACTTCATAATAATGGATTGCAAAATAATTGGAGGTTTTCATCAAATACGATTCGATGAATAATTCGTTTCTCCTCTCATATGAATTATTCAGTTTTTATGAATAAGACACCAGACATCAATCTTTAGCATGACATATTTATTTCTTTCCAGAACTTGTGGATTATTCCATTTATCCGCAACATCGCTGTTTCTTGTCATATAATTCGCGAAAAAAAAAAACTCAATTCATCAAAATCTTAATTCAATATACATTTTGAATCCAAAGTATCAAGATCTTGAAAAAAATGTACTTTAAAAAGACGAAAATAACGTAAAATTCATAATACGAATGGAGACACCATTTTACGACAATACAAGATTATCTAGAGGAAGTACAGATAACCTAGTAAGACCGATAAGATCAATTCTTCACCTATTAATAACAGAAATTTCGGAATGAGGCAGTTGATTCATCGTTAAAAACGGATGAATGAAATTGTGAAGCAGATAAAGCTGCATCTGCACATTCATTTCTCATTATAAAAACATTGCAGAAGAATTTGTACCTATGACGAGATTCAATTAAAAATAAACACAAGAAAGTATTTCAAACATGTTTATTTATTCATAAAAAAAACAAATCTTAAGAGATTTCTAACATACTCGAAGTGCTATCAGCCCTGTTTTTCCATTATCCGTAATTAACTAAGGTATTGTTACAAAATTCCGAAGAATCAAGTTTAACAAAATAATGATAGCAAAGAAGAACACTCATTGGAAAATGATCGAATGCCATGGGAAAATGCGATTAACCGAGAATATTGGTTTTGTTCGCTTTTTCGGAAAAGAGTATATTTTGTGATTAAAATCACTTTACACGACAATAAAAGTGAGAGAAACAGCTTTAAATGGGATACTAGAAAGCCAAAAAACAAATTTAGTAGATAGAAGATAATGAGATTACTTCATTTTCACAACTGTATTATGCATTTGACCGTCTAGACCGTCCTCTATCAGTTCAACTTTTTTATTGCTTTCCGTTAATCCTACAACTTAATTGCAGCCCTAATAAATTTGACAGGGAAAAACAAATCAACGTGGAGAAAATCATCATACTACAAAACAGCCCACATTGTCAAGTTAAAAGTATACAGCGCACTAAGAAAAATGCATCAAAAAATTTAGAAAGAAACTTTTAAAATTCAAAAATACTAACAGGAACACAAATTGAAAGTAATTCTCGGCTATACATTGCTGTTTGTTGTTAATACGCCATTGAGACTTTAAGCTTAAATCTTTTATTTNCTTTTATTTTGATTTTGACGCCAGCTTTTCCTTTATCCACGCTCGAATTTTTGTTTTTAAAGCAATATCTAGAATTGGAAGAACCTATATTTTTAACAGCAAAGACATAGCATTTACTTCATCACACTTTCGACTTCATCTTAAAACGATTTATACTGGAGTATGAAGAGTTGAAGGTGTTAATCCAAATAAGTCAAACAGATGGTTTTGACTTGAAACGAACGATATGGATTACTAATTTAAAAGATGCTCAATTATCGGAGATCTACTTCAAATCTTAATAATCATGCCATTTTTTGAGATAATTAAGAAAGCTGAAGAAAATGAGACGATAGATAAAATTACCAGATACAAGTTGAGTTTCGCATAAAGGCTGCCGAGTAAATGGATCCGTTTGAGAGCTGAGCAAATGACGCATAATATGTTTCCGGTCCATTTTATGTCCTGATGGCAGAATTACAGGATCAGTCATCAGTGTGTTCATTACTGGATCTGCAATTACAAGAAAGCGGATCGCAAATACGACGTTCTAATTTCAAAAAACCAATTATGACGTTAAAAACTGATAAAGCCTGAACTGATAAAGCCGCACCGATGCATATTAAGAACCCGAAATAACTAAAAATGTAGACGTGAGATTTCAATAATATAAGGACCGTTATGCTGAAGTTTAACGCAGGGCAATGTAAAAAATAAAAAACCTGTTTGCCATAATTTGTAAAACAAAATTACCTCTGAAATCATCCGGAACATCATCTCCGAAATCTTCTTCATTCTGAGCCTTCTGCTTCCAGATTCGTTGCGTCATATCGGCAAGATTTTTCAAGAGTTCGATTTCATTTATAGGTACAATATTATTAGTGGTTAACCGTGAAAGCACCATTGAAAATACATCTGGGGAGTACGAACGCTGTAAGTGCTTGCTTAAGCAGTGATTATGAACACCTTTATAAGCATAATCTTTTCATCCAGAGAGATGAAATGAAAATGAATAGGTAGCCAAAATCATGATTTTCTTGCAATTTGTTTTAATGAAATTGTAGCATCAGTAGCACAAATGGATGAATAATCTGTAGTGTTCCATGAACCTTACCAATCCTTAATAGAATAACGAAGGAATTTTCAAAGCATAAGATAGGTGAAGCGGATAATCAAAAAATAAATTACTACATCCAAATTCAAGAATTACCTCATCATTAGCAATGCATTCTGCAAATTTCTCTGACGATAAATTTAAGTACACATTTACTATTTGTTGTAATAGAGCTCGTGGCTCCCACATAAACCGACGTACTGCGTCACGTACTTTCAGTTCCGTACATTTTGGACCACATAACTGTGACACATTGTAATCCAACATTGAAGCCAATCGTTCACCCAGCAACTGAAGCTTCATTGAAAGTGAAAAAAACTCATAAATCTATAGGATTTTGAATATGAACAATTTAAGTGAATGAAAGCATGCCAAAACACTAATCAAAGAACAATTATTAAAAATTAAGAATTAGAATTAAGAATGAAAAAATGTAAGGTAGATAGTTGCATAACGATCAACCGACTGCACTACAATTTAAATAGTTCAGGTAATCAGATTTGTGCTTCCTATTATCAGCAATAAATGGATTTTAAAATCAAACCGGTTCATAGAACGGTTCAGGTGCATCAGCAGTTAAATATGTGAAAAGATCCAACGTATCACGTCCAAGTATTAACCAGTTTCGTACACCTCGTTTTGCTTCCAACAATGCATCTTCTTTCATTTGACGTTCCTCATCACCGAGATTGGACCATTCATTGCTTTCCTTCAGTGTTTCAATGTCGTGTATTTTTTTCAGCGCAAGCAATGATTCATCCAACAAATAGGTTGCATCATTAATAACCATATTGACAAAACGAATGAAATCAGGTGAGCATTCTCTGAAACACAATAAATATATCTGATGTGCTGAGCAGACCTTCCATAGTTAACGAATATCCTTTGATTGCAGCAAAGCATAACATCAAAACATGTATAAAAATTACTAATTGTGGGAAGTATGACAGACCATAATGTCAGAACTTTAAAAAATTTCAGTTCGAATTAGAAAAGTTCTTTTCTAATTCTATTAAATTAAAATCTCCAAGAAAATTTATTTAGCAAATTTTTACAATATGGATGAAAAAATTGACCTTGCATAAGAAGTAATATTACTTCTGTAGATTGTACTTTCCCAAAGAGAGCGAAATATCACTTGAATCGATCGTCTGATATTAAATTTATCGTAGAATTCCGTGCTTGCTCCTGTTGACTCCACATCTAAGATCATTTGAAATGAAATGAAATAAAACTAAAAAATCAAGGAAAATGAATCGAAAACTGAAAGTTACAATACCCGCATAGAATTTGACAAGACTAGGAAAGAGTCGATCAATAGCTAGCGGAGAATTGATAACAGAAAGATGGAACTGATATGCAGCAGGTAAAATTGCAGGACAGACCATGAATAAAACTTCCACTATCTAAAATTTGCTTTCCCAAGCAGTAAGATTAGTCGAATTTCAAATGTAATATAATCGATGTTAGCGAGACTTAATATAAACCATTTCGTACTGTATACTTGCAATTCTGGTCGTCAATTTTAATTTGCACGTATGTTATAATTTTAAAAAACTGAAAAATCATTTTCTTTCTTATGAATTCTGCTCAGAGATTCACATCCTATGTCATTTAGTAATTTACTTCTTCGAAAATACGAATTCCCATTTCTAAATATAATAAAAGGAGATATTTAGGTTAGATACTAACAAACGCTTAAGCAATAAACCTTTGCCGCAAGAAATTTATTGTTAAAATAATGAGTGCTGCAAATAAATACGAGTAGCTGCTGAGGCAAGTCCAGTCGACTTTCCAGAAGTATAACCGGATTATTCCTACAATATTAATCAGGACATTATGTGAAGCAGTATCTTCTCCTTCATCCATAAAATTTGCGAAATAAATCCATTTAGTCAAAAAGTAATAATAAGTTGGATGTGACGCCGACTTAAAGATAAGTCACTAACTTCAGTAGAAAGACAATGAAGTCGAGAGAGTTTTCCAAAAAGAACTCTGGCATAGCTCCGAACAAATCTGGGGCTACGGGTGGAAGTAAACCATCGTTAATGCTGAAAAAATACAATAAAAATAGATCCAGAACATATATGTATTTGAACCTACAGATAAATAATACAGATTATCAGGAAACTGAAAAAACGAGCAAAAAAAATATTTCATTGCATACATTATCGGAAATTTTAGCAATTTCGGATAACTAACAAATTAGGATTTATAATGTTGATGATGAACGTAAGCTGACGGCTGCAGAATTCCAAAGCTCGATGGAGAAACACCGGATCGTATAGAGCTGCTTCCAAACACATAATTCTTCGAATGAGTCTCTGAAAAATAAAATGAGTAG